ATCGCTGAACAGAATACTGTAAATCTCATGTGGTAGGTTTTACGTGTAATATGATTATATTTCCGGTCTATAGTGGCACGTATTCAATACCTTATCTGAAAGTCATTTTGTTCAAACAGAGGGATGATGATACCAGTGATATGATAAACACTGTAAAGCTCAGTTGCATTTTTCTGTAAGTATCTGATAATATAATGTCACTTTCAAGTCATTTCAGACTAAACTATGTATCTAACTGAAGATGGGCTAATAATTGTCAAAGGTTCATGAGCATTTAAACTTGACAGTGGTGACGTAACTCCGGAAGTTGAATGTTCCGTAGTTTCAAAATTGTCTCATGTAACAGTGATACAATCGGTGTTTGAATCTAATCGAAACCATTGTGAAACCCCCAAATGTTCTATACAGAAGGAATCTGTACAAAAATTATAGAATGAGCAATTATCCTTTTACAGTGAACGAGATTTAGTCCCAAAGTGTAAGAGAATTGTGTAGTCTGGTTCACGGGATTTATTGTCAGTCTGTATCGATTTTTTGAGAAAGATTTGGGCGTTTCCGATGTAAACTGATGTGGCCGTGCAGGCGTCAGCAATCAATGCTTTTTCTCTTGGATTATGCCAACAGTTACCTAGTCAATCAGCGATTACCAGCCTAGTGAACAGGAATGGTCACTGAAAAAAACTGGAGAAAAATCGAATGAAATCTTGGGGAAAAACTGTGTCGATGTAGTACCATGCATTTCTTAATTTCATTATCAATTAAAAACAAATAATGTTACTATAGAAAGCAATTATTGAAAGCAAATGGCTAACGACAAGGTAAACAAGGCTCGTTTTCAGTGTACATGATTTCTTAACTGCCTTAAATTATGCAATCAATCAATCAATCAAATCAATTCGTAAGGGCCTAATAAATGTTCCGTACGAGAACCGCACTATTATTTGGAACCGTTCAGGTGTTGGTTTAAGTACTAATGATGTGGTTTGCGAATACGTTGATGAAACAGCCATCAGGATGTTGACTTTTTTTAACCTTTTGTTAGTAAGCTCGTCAAATGGCTGCTCTCTGGTGGCTTAGAACTGAGTTTTGGTTTACTATTTGGACATATATATTTAAAATATGGCATTTGTTTAGTTGTGGATATTCGTCCCATTATAACTGGAACAATATGGACTATAAAATCCAGAGACCTAGCCCAGTTCCGTTAAGAAATCCCTTGACGCAATCCGAGGGGTGCGGCAATTCATTCAACAAATCCTTTTTCTGGTTTGGTAATTTTGTGAAAAGCTAAAAATATAATTGCTTGATACGCGACTGTGTGAAAATAATTGATTTTTCCCAAGTCTACTCCTTTCCAAATACATTTATAAGCTATCAAGGACAGGAAGACATGCTTTGGCAGTTCTCTCTTGTTTCATATGTGCTTGTCGGTCCAAAACTGTGCTCGAAATCAAACACTGTTCTCCCCACTGACCCGAGACACCCCCAAACCTGCTGACCTACTTTCAATTACTTTTTTCTCATTTGCCACAAGTAAAATGTCTTCCTGCCCGTCCTTTGCATAAAATTAAACACGGGAAATGTGACTTGAAAGACTGTCGGTTATTTATTGTCATGTTTCCAACGTCTGTTTTACCTACACTCACACAAACGTACATGATTTGTAGAACAGTCTTGTCCTGAACCGTCTTGCACACATGTCCAGGACCCCGCCCTTACATCACTATTTGGCGATAGATGAATGGGAAAAGCGAACAGATAGACAAAAGGAAAAATAGCTTGTTAGTTTAGTGGCATCTTTTAACAAGAGAATCGAATCTTTTGATAAAAGAAAAAAGTAGAAAAGCACAGGATTGCTCGATTCACATCAAAAAGGACATCCGGCTAAAACTGCTTTGTTGATTTAAACCCGGTTTTTGCAATTATAATCGATAGGATGTGGAGAAAGAGGGCTTTTCTAGATCGAGAGCTGTTTAACTATTGTTGTTTGTGTAAATAGGGACAAATTCGATTCCTAAACTCATTCGATTTTTCTGTTCAAAATGACTATCTGCCGTACCGTATGAATTTATGTCAACGTTTAATACAAACAAGAGTATTTACGATACCATACCAGTAGACTTCGTAAATCGTGCACTGGTACTCAACTCGATGAATCGTTATACACATAACTAACGCATGCCCCCGTTTATTTTGTATTCAATCTCACCCTCGCCCCGTTCGTTTCATCCCAGCAGGTCCACCGCGGAATTCCCTTAATCGTCGACAAAGTGGTAAGTTGCATTTGCTTTTCTTTGTGTATAAAAGACTCCGAGTAGCGAGCACATATTTCACTAGAATAAAGTATTCCGTCTACTACAATTGCAGATGAAACGGGGGAAATAAAATTTCTAATGCAATTTGATAAACAATGAATTATTTGGATTGGGGACTGTGAGATGGACGCTGTCGAAAGGCGCTGGCATATGTTAGACACTAATCATACATTTTTTGGGTGGCTTTTCGGAGTCCAAAATGCAGGTCAGGAGAACGGTCATCTCACGTCATCTCCCCCCCCCCCACCCCTCTCCGCCCCGATATCGAGCAATGAAACGATGGCAACGCTTCCTCAGTTGACAACCATCCTAACGGATCACATGTCTAACGGACAAACGTTAGGCAATGAATGATCGATATACGATGGGATGATTCGATTGGAGGAAATCTTTTTTCCAAAAACTGATATGAATAAAAAAAAAACACTTCCTGTGTAAATATACGAATGGATTATCTACAATGAAATCCATAAAATAAAGTATTACTTTCCAAACGAATAGGAATTTTGAAAACGCCGCACAAAATAGCTGCAAAATTTCGACAAGATTTGAGTATGATTGGTCCGAATTGATTCACCCTGAGGAGGATCACTTTCGTCCGTCAGTCCTACCGTACTAATCAGGGTTTTTGCGTTCGTCACAAATACAATCAGTATTCCATTCAAGTGGAGTCAAAAATCTTAGATAGAAAGATGTATCGTACCGAACAATAGAAACACTGGTTCATTATTGTAATGGAATTAGGAAAGTAAAACATAATATCTATGAAATGTCTCCCACGTCGTCTTGCTTAAACTTTATTTGACGACCGCGGAATCTTACACCAAGGTTTTGATCAATTTCTTCATTGCGAGACCTGACAAACAGGGGTGCCGATGGTTGTCACAGTCACACAATGCAGATCGTGAAAGCAGGGTGGTCTGTCACAAATTAGATTTGTACACCCCCACCTTGTCCCACTCACAATTTCAATTTGCTCAAGTTTCAGTGCTTCACGTTCTCGTTTGGTAATATAGTAATAGGCTATTCCATATTTTTATACTTATTCGATCTTTGGTTTTGCAAGACTATAGTTCATAATAACACAGTAGAATAAGTGCACACCATTTTGTAGCATGATATGTATGCATGTATGCCAACTTAATCAGAGAGCTCAGCCAGGAACAGGAAACCAAAGTGTAGAAAAGCAGCTTCGTTTACATTCCGAGCTCACTTACACTTAAATCTCAAATTATAGAAATAACGTGACAAATGAAAGTTATATTAGATAAATCAAATTCCGGAATAATAATTCTTTCCTAACATTTGTGAGCAATAAACGCTAGGAAAACATTTCATTTACCAGAACGTGATTGACCCAACACTTGATCATGGCCAATGAAAGAATGAATTAATAGTAATTTCTGTGATGAAGCTAGACTATCTGGTTTGGACAGGCCTGAGTGCTTCATCCTATCACCCTCACTTGCCACAACACGAATGACATGGGAGTCTGAACTAGCTATTCGTCGCAACCTTTAAGGGAATTTGTTTTAGAGCGCATGCGGTACACAATCTTAACCGTTAAAAAGCGTTTTGAAGATATTACAAATGATTTTTACAAAATAATATTGGATGCGTGGAGCAGAATGGTTATTGTCTGTTTCTAGCAAGCGGTTCATACACGGCTTGTTGCTTAGTTCACACCCCTCAGTATGATGATCAAAAACAGGAAGAGAATCTAACAGGAATGTCAGATACTTCAATCGTTCTGAGGCACATATAAGAACAATTTAGACAGCTGATCACGCATGCTTGAGACAGTTGTGAGTTTCCAGTGAATATAAGGGGAAGAGGCATAGATACAATTGTTAAGATCGCGGTGAAGAGGGTCGCTGCGGTCTGTGAACAACCTTTGAGTGCATAAGAGCGACAAATATAATGAGCTGCTCAAGATAAACGTCGGCGCATTTATGTGGATTTAGGAGTACCAAGTTCGGATTAACCCATTCGATTGTTCACATGGTCTACGCACTCTTGATGGTCTTGGGTGTGTTTCACTCAATGGAAGATCGTCTAATGCCCCACTGGGTAAACGCAGTTAAACGTGATGGACATATTTGTAATGACCAACGAAGAGCTGTTCCATCCTTTTCTGGACTCGTCGGCGATGCCTACTTTTCATGTTTCCATCAGAAATCGAACCGCGAAGTCCCAATCCGAAGGTTCGCAGTTCGAGTCCTGACGGGAATACAAAACGTACGCACTGTTGATGAGTCCCGAACAGGATGAAACAGCTCTTCGTCGGTTATCACAAATATGTCTATCATCTTTAACTGCATTTATGCGGACGTTCAAGGGACCTGAAGATAAGTCTTGGGCTTATATTGCTTAATCAGGACTGGAGTACTGAATGACTATAAAGCTAATGGTGCATTACATGCCAGGATGAACAAGAGATCAAATAAAAAGTGAAAGTGAGTCAAATAATATGAGTCAGGAGGCAAAAGGCGATAGCCTACTGACTTTTTAACTCTACAGTTATGCAATCCGACTACGATAGATAACACTAAGTCGTTACATGNCCTATTTCACAATAGAAAGTCTGGCAATGAAGCTTGAAGATAGTTAACGTTAAACATTTGATCAGCTTTGATTTCCTTCGATAACGAAAATTATGGCTGCCACACTGGTCACACCGGTGTCATGAACCCAGTAGTAGACCCCCTAGGTAACCCCAAGTTGTCGGTAACAGTTGCTCACTAAATACCTACACTGTCTGATCTGTTACCATATGGAATTATTGATATTGAAAAGACATTTTTTCGCTAATAAACTTTCAGAAAACGTTCAGCAATAATGTGCTTTTCCAAATAGGGTATATGTTATTCAGGCTGATGAGTAGACCTATGGAAACCGTTTGCTATATTCTCATGAATTTTTAATCATAGAACACTAAGTAGTTCAACAGGTCAGAATGAATGCATCAACTCGTATGCATTCATTGCTTCTTGAATTAGACCAGAACCACCGAGATGAAGAATTGCATTATCCATACGAGGTGTTTTATATTATTCTGTTACTTGGTTATTACGGGCTTCCACAATGCGGAACGCAAACAACAGGAGCATCATAGCCGGAACAAGCCGATAGATAATTTTCCGGTCCTCGTGTAATCACAGTGTCACATCTGACCTCAGATCCTAGGTCACGATAAAATCGGTTGTAGTACACACGATGAAACCCAATCAGTTTATACCCAACACCAATTTAACAACCCCATGATGCTCGACAAGTGTTTCCATGTAATCCATTTCATGTTTTCACGCACAATGAGACAACACATCAGCGCTCATCTGCCAGATCAATCGATCAATAAACTCTATGATAGGCTGAAGGAACTCGGAAATGGTTCGGGACGATTATAGTACTGTTTAGTGTGATCAAAACACTAACCCGTGCGTTCCACATCTCTTTATCCGAATCTCCAGTAAAACGAATTTTCTTGCCCCATTGCCTTCCTACTGGAATGTCAAGTATGCAGGGGGGATGTCAGGCAATCCACAGGCTGGAATTCAAGAACAGGAACCGTGAACTTATGACAAAGAGAAATATTGAATATGAACATGAATATTGAATATGAATGCGTGATGACTTCCAAAAGAATAAAAAACAACTCAAATGAATGTAATCACAAAATAAACGCACAGGTGACTACTTTGCTGTCTTATTGAATTAATTGAGTCTCTCTATTCCTATAGGACTTTTACGGAAACAAATATTCAAAGTTTTCCCCAGGTTAGATTGTTTTAACGGATTTAGTCGTACATGGAACAGATAAAAAGCTTGTCCTAAAGACATGGGATGCCCCGTTCGGCTGTTTCGACTTTCTTGGGTATCCCAAGCCGGGAGAACCAATCCATCGATGCGAGGATCCCCCTTCCCGACCTTGCAGATAGAAAGCAAGTATAATGCAAACTTCAGTACCACGCAAGTGATTGAACGTACCAATCTTACTTATAGAAAAAGCGCTGAAAAAGAGTCGAAACTGCTTCACAATGCTTCGCAATATTTAAGTGTACGTTCGGCTTACACAATCATGTTTGAGAACTAAATTCTCTATCCCTTTATCATAACTGGCTGACATTCCCCGAACATGAGACCAATCAAAATCTTCTACTGGCTTTCATTGAAAGTTTCCTTTTCACGTTCTTTGAACAACGATTGATCCTTAGCATGCAAGCACTATGAAGATTTTGCACTCAGCACAAATTGGAGGTTGATTATTCTTCAAGCAAATCAACTCAGTAAGTGACAACAAAGTTCACTTGTGTGTTTCATTAAAATTCCTATAGTAGGTCATTTCATTTTGATTAGATTCAATAAAAGCAGGTCTTCAATCATAATCAATTGATCATTTGTGTCTCCCTAATCCCTCTGTTTCTCCTCCCCTTCCTGGTCTCCCCATTCTCATTGCAAACTGCCATCAGTCGCGGCGGAAAGCTTTGACCCGGAAAAGGATAATGACATAGCTGAGGATGAGAATAAACCAGTTTACCCCAAAACAGACAGCCAACGAGCACGTCTGAGCAATGCAGTGAAGGAAATTTTATTGTTTCGTTGCTTGGATGAGGTAATTCTTTGCAATTATCTGGATAATTTATCACAACATGAAGTCTACGATCGTAGTTGATTGAGAACTGCTGTTTGCAGAGATAGCTTACGTAAGGTCCCCAAGTTTATCGAATCGGTCTTCACAAATAACCTCAAATTTCTGTTCGTCATTAGGAATAGATTCATACTGACAATAGTGGTAATTGCGTGAATGAGAACACCTTGATTGACTAATTCTGGTTAAATGTTATAATTAACCTGTTCCACCAATTACGTTTATAGAGTGTGTGAAAAACGGGGAAATCCGCCACAAGAAGAGATAGTCTGCAATCGTGCAAAAAAGTATGCAGGATGACTTTATATTTTCATTCATAGACGTCAGAAAATTGCAAGTGAACAAGTATAATCCACATGAATTTTTAAAAATGAAGCGTTCACGAAGACGACAAACCGTAGATAAAAGAATTGAAACTATTGGGTATGATTGCCATCTATCCTACAATCAGGACAACATTCTCTTTCATTGGTTTATTTGTGTGAAATTGTTTAACTAAGTTCACTCCCATTTTGAAGCTAGTAGCGAGTAGCCAAACACTTTTGAATGTTTCATCCGGTTTGGGTATGGTGATATCACAAGACTGTCATTCAATGAGCCGCACACATCAAGGTCAGTTTTCGAAGGTCACTTTTTATGTTTCGTGGATTGTATTTTCAGCTCTTTAAGTATTATGGATAATGCGTGCGTAGTTTGTATCCAAATAATTTATCAATTCAATTGGGGTAGAATATTTTCACTAATTGGATATTTACCGTGCACTGAATGGAAAGACATAAGCAAGTTAGGATACGCGTCTTCAAAGTAATAAACACTCTACTGAGACAGGAATCAATCATTAGAAAGAATGAACCTCAAGTTTGCTTTCCATAAAATACTTTCCCAATCTAAGCTGTAATTTTTGAACTACTACAAATGTACATCGCTAAAATCAATGTTGCGCATTAAGAACATAAAATTGGGAGATAAAATCAGGAGTAAACACACTTTACCACTAGCCATCAATATACAAGTATGATATTAAAAACTGAAATGAAAGTGGTGCTGCGCGAGTTTAATCAACACCTGTATAAATCAGTATTTCTGGTCGACCTGTAAGACGTGAACAACAGGACACTAGTTATTGCTTTGAAGAAATTCAAAAACCATTAGGGTATAAAGTATATTTTTCACGCATATGGAGAGCGTAACCCGTTCATCACAAGTTTCCTAAAATAACTGCATTTCTTCCCGTCAGAAAAGAACATCAGTTTGAATATTAGCGCGCCACTTTGCATGGTTATCAATCAATTGCACACAAATTACCAAAATGAAAGAAACCTCTAAATACATTTAGGTGAATAACGGTTATTGAACTTTAATCATTCCAAACCCCGGTTATATTGAATACGGTTGAATACGGATACAGTATGAGGCTGAGGAACTCACAATCAAGCTCCAAGGCACCCTTGTGTAAATCATTGGTATTCGAATGAAGCTTTTAACAGTCAAAGTAAGCTAGAGTAAGTGTTCTCACTTGTACAGGAGAAAACCATGGGCTTAGAAGGAGCTACGCAATGCATAATCCAAATAGTATATTAGTTTAAGGATACGATTACATTATCACTGCTGATAAAATATCACCGTGAAGAATCAGAGTATCACATGCAAGGTGGATACCATTGTATTCAGAGGTTGAGTTGGTATATTACATAACACTCAATGCCGAATAATATGACAACACGAAATATCTGCTTTACAATGAGAATGATAACAACCTGAAGTCCAAACTAAAATTGCTTCTATTCGCTTCATTTGGTTCTGTTTCACAGTATAATCTGTCATTCCCCTAGCCAGCCAAAACATATTTCCACTAAATGCTTGATGATGAAACGACAATTATAGGCAGGAGAAAATTCATGGTATTCTCGAATTAACCAACTGTCCATTGAGGTGGGTCCGACAAATCTGGTCTATTGATCACACGCTAACTGTCATGATGTCTCGTATTCAAGCAAAGATTGTAGACCGATTAAATTCCTGCAATGAGAAAAACGACAGTTTGACAGTGCAGCGAGTTACTTATGCTTTGCTACAGTACCATCTCCGGAATTGTGATGATACTCATAGGGATGGTTTTTAAACTCGATGAAAAATCGCGTGAGTTTATTCTTGTTTTCTTGGGTCCAGTCAAACTGAGCAAAAACAAACCCGAATACAATAACGATACTTAGGGAGTGAAAATGAAACGAAGGTACTTTACTGCTGATTGCACTTAGATTTGCCACAAGAATCAGATGCACAGTTCGTTCGTATATGCTATTCCTAATTACCGTCTGATAGAATGCAGCTTACGTTTTATTTAGTGCATTCAGGTTGCCTCGTTCAAAGCAAAACAGTTGATCTCAGCGTACGCTTTATTTTTATTCCTAATCATACAGGAACAAAAATCCTATGTGATAGACGCAATGCAAGAAAAACAAGTGAAAGCCGGCGATACCGTAATCTCACAAGGCGATGACGGGGACAATTTTTACGTTGTGGAGTCGTAAGTTTGTCTCGCTGATTATCAGATACAACCGATTTTGAACAGTGATGAACAGAGGGTACGCATGTTTTTTCAGTTTATGTTTATTTGTGTTTGGTAGACCACCCGTAATTGTCATCGCCCGTTTTGATCGGCAAATATCAGGCTCTTGCCACTTGGCGAACAATTATGAACACATGTTACAGTACTACACATTGTTGGCAACTCTATATCGACCGATAGTAAAATAAAACAAGTGTACTAACACAAACATTCGAATCAATCCACGTAAGAATGTGCAATGTTCTCAACACTGAGTGCACTACTGACCAGTCCAAAAGGGTCAAACGAACGGGACGTGAAACGTAAGAGTTCAGATGTCAGAATGTCATTAATGAACTGCTGTTTTGACCCTGCAGATCACAACGAATCAATCTGCTCTGAAATCCCCAGCAGCAGTTATTGTATATTATCCTGTTTTCGCACTCTTCTGGTGGTATGCTTAGTGTGGGTACATATTTTCATAGATGATCTAACACTTAGTTTTCTGGTTCATGGGATTGCTGTACAACATGAGTCAACTACACTCGACCTGTAAAACAGATAATTTTGGAATTGTTGTTTGCACAGGTGAGACAAACGTATATCATTGTTACGGATGTCTAAGTAATAATCCAGTGACCATTGTAAGTTCGAATTCCTAACAAAATTCTAAAAACCTATTTTATTTTCAGCAACTATGTTGGCAGACAGTACACGCATTACCGACAACGCTGATAAGGTTTGTAATCTTGTGTTCATCAAAATGCGCAGAGGGGTGGATTTTCAATCGGTGCCTGGTACATCACAAGAATATAAACATAAGTTCAAGTCTAACTTCACCTGATTGCGACGGATGGTCAGAGATGTAAACTACATCTTAGACAAAGTTTAATGTTTGGAAGCAAAAGCTTAGGCTAAGTAGTAGGGAATATAAAAATCTTTCCAAGGATAAGCGCAACACTGCATCAAACGACCCCAAAACTGTTTATCATGAGAGATTAGTTCTAGTTTCAGGTAGTGAATCTCCAATCGCAGAAAAAGGAGGACATCTGCAAGTTATACTGCATACAGTCTACAAGAAAACCGTAAGTTAAAAGATGTCGAATCAAGTCAAAGGTCAGTTGTTTTATTCTGACCATCTCGTCAATTGGATGGATAAGGAGGTTTTAGATAAATAACTCCCGATAATCGGTTGCAACGACTTACCTCTGCAAGGTGTGCAAGGCTAGCACCGGGTGTTGATCCGTTTTCCTCCGGCTCGCTTAAGTGTTGTTGTCCCCTCTCCTCCCTCCCCCGGGACGGATAAATTGCAATTGGTGCGATCGACACAGGTTATGCTAAAGTCACGTGCATGATACGGGCATGTTTAGAAGTGTAAAGAAAAATGTCTGTTTTTCATGTCCTTCACGTGGCTATATGCAAAATTCAATTTGTGCATCAGTTAATCCCACTCCGCCCAATCCACTTATCCAAACTGGGTCGTTTACAAAGCACAAATTTCATTGACACCTTCTAGATGAGCATATCTATTTCAGTATCCCTTGTGAAGGTTTGGTCTGTCCGAAGAAGACAAATACAAATGCACTATTTCACGCGCCGCTTTCTCAGACCTGAACTTTATTCTCCAAATGGCTAGGTTAGTAAAGGAATACACTGCAAAATATTTTTGGTTTCATCATATTCCCCTTATCTGTCCAGTTTTTTTCTTACTTACCGCTTATTTTTTATGAACTCATTGATCAGACATTCCAAAATCAGATACATCCACTGAAACCAAACACAGCTTGATAGTTGACTAAAGAGTCTGTTTTCCATGGAAACAATACATCGCTGGCTCACTGTGTAATTATCGCAACTGCTGCTTTCTACCTATGCGGTGGCAGTTAAGTCCGTTCCACTTATTGATTTAACTACATATTGATACTTAATCCCGAAACATTCATTCCACTGTAGCGTTCCATTAATGAGTTATGAACAGCACCACCAAATGTGTGATACATAAATCCTCGTAAATGAAGCGATAGATGAAGGTACTTCGCAGTGGCTTGAAAGCCAAGTCTTTCGAGATTATTTGCGTATATAAAACCGTGAGATGAAATGTGGTACACCCATGTTATTTATTCCAAATCGTACTGCATCAACAATCCTTTGATCTTGCAGTCGTGATGTGTCAGGGGACACATAGGCTATTAGTGTGTTTGTAAACGACTGTTGACTGTAGTGATCATCGGCTAACTTGACCCATTGATCACTCAGTAAAAAAATGTCAGTACGGTTTGGATGATGGTGCTAGTTAAGTGATATCACCAGTTTGGTTAGCAACACGCTTGTCTGAGCATCTTACACAAAGAGAATCTGTCCAGCGCTCTGAAGTTCACTAACTGATTTGAGTAACGTCCTGTGTTTCGCTTCAGATCGAGATTTATCACTGTTCTCTAATAGAGTACTACCGTTCAAGCAATCCTTTTGATGAGTCAGTATGTGTCCGTCGTTTTCTCCCTTTAAACAACATCAGTTACAAGTCAAATGAGTGCGACATCTCCGATGGATATGTTATAAATAGACATCTTCCTACGACATTTTAAAAATCGAAGAAAGAAGTTCTTAAAATATAATCAACGGCAGAGAGACCATCGTCGTTTATTTTGTGCTTTATGAACGGCTCAAGGGAGTTGCCTTGGAATAGATAAGGTCAACCTGAAGAATACTTTCACTTCTCAAGGAAGATGATCAGCTTTTAAACGCGAACACACTTGTACACGGACCAGGTTGTATCGAGAGCCCATTCTCCAGCAGATGGTAATGAAAAATGGCTCCTTTCCCTTTTACTCCGTGTTACTTAAAAAAGTCACTGCTTTTGAGTTATGCTTTGTTCAGACTCACCGCTTATTCTCGTGCGTTTGATAGAAACGTCAGAAACGTAAGAGCTATACAACCACGGTGGTGATAGCTTTTAACATCACTTCAATTGGTGTATTTGAGAATCCTCGACTTGTTCTTTTCTGAATACTGGGGCGGTGTAAACAGTAATTACGGGACCACATACATTTTGCGTGAGGCATTATTTTACATTCTGTTTCTTTTATGGTCCGAATACATTCAATTTTACAGACAGTTTTTTATACATAAAGGTGTCTTTATGGACGTAATTTCACATGGACTATGTTTTATTTGTTTAGCGGGACCTATGACATTTATGTTCGCTCGTCGTCAGATCCACCCACGGAATTGGGTAAAAAAGTGGGTTCCTATGTGGACCATGGATCGTTTGGTGAACTGGCCCTAATGTACAACACATCGCGTGCCGCAACCATTAAGGCAGCAACGGATGGAATTTTGTGGCTTATGGACCGAAACACGTTCCGGCGAATCGTGCTCAAAGCTGCATTTCTCAAACGGCAACTGTATGAGAATTTGATCGAGGAGGTTCCCTTACTGAAGGAATTGAGCGCGTACGAGCGAATCAGTGTGGCCGATGCGCTCCAATCTCGTGTCTATCCGGACAACGCTGCAATAATCACGCAAGGGGAGCCGGGAAAAGAAATGTTTTTCATTGAGTCCGGTGCAGTGAGAATAGTTGTTCGTGAGGTAAGTGCACATGATCATTATTCAGTTCATGTCACCACTCGATGTAACAAAACCTACAGTATCTATCCAAAAGATTCTCTCATTTTTGTCTCATCACAAGACTCATTTATATTACCGCTCATACTTGATAAAAATGTAAAAACGTTAATAAATAGACAAGCTTACACCTCATAAACGAATGGCAGCGCGAACCAGACATAATCAATAAAGAACAGCAACATGCTTTCTGAAATAACTTACCAGTCAACAATATACACCCGTTGCAGTTTCTGTTGCATACTTGGAAATTTTCTACTCTCGGGTTATCTTACAGAAAAACAAAGAAGTGGAAGTGAATAAACTGGAGAAAGGTGCTTACTTCGGCGGTAAGTAACTTGACACAATATAGCGAGATTATCTGCCTTAAACTGTTGTCCGCTGTTTACCAATATGGACAACAAAACAAAATATTTGTGTTAATTTTATCTCCATTCACCCGCGCTGGTATTTGACGCCATTTGTGCCCCGATTGGCCATTTGATCTCAGATGGGCTGATGTCGACAATACCGTGTTCGACAGATGTCCTTGTCTAATGACATTCATGATTCTTCATATTATTCGTTACTTGACTGGTGTTAACCTGTGCAGCGCAATTCACTGAAGGATTAACCCGCATTCAAGTACTAGCTTGATGGGCGATCTGTATGTAATTAGCAGGTGCATAGAATAAGGGTTCTGCATTCATTCATCGCATGTTGATTTGTATGAACGTTCGCGTGAACAGATGTCCGATTTCATTTAGAAATTACACATCTCATTAAAAGAAGGGAGTAATATGGGTAAAATATCTAACCTTTAAGGTCGTTGAGAGATTCGGAAAAAACCCTCGGTGGGCTCGGTAGGATTCATATATTCCACGTGAAATAGTGGTCATATTGGTCACCCGATTTCTCACAAGTAGAAACCGATTGCATAAAGAATTTTTTGCAGGCATAATATTCACAGCATGCATCGTTTGACCGTTTATTCAGTGATTCATTTCGGGATATCGGTTGGTATGCTAAATGTTTTTTATACACGTTATAAATGTGTTTGTTTGATTTATCAAGAAACTAGACCTCATTTGCCATCATCAGCCTGCTACCTACTTTCCCATTGAATGTAAACCCCTTGCATACATCCCATGGACGGTCAGTATCCGATTTCCTCCGGTTTTCTTTCACAGGGAATAACTGTTTGCTAGAACCTATTATACTATTTTTATCAGAAGCAGATATGTCAAACAATGAACCCTTCCAGCGAATGTCAGAGCAGAGAGTGAATCAGTAAAATGTACATCCTTTTTGTGTGACAGCACATCTAAAAAATATAAGACTGAAAAAAGTCTCCACCAGCATATTTCGCTCAGCCAAAAGAACTCTTAGTGAATCAGTTCAATGCATCCTTCATCCAAGCGTAAAATGGAAATAATTGTTCCATAATTTGTGCATGATGAGATTTTTTGTGGTATTTTGTTCACAGAACTGGCTCTAATTGCGAAGAAACCACGTGCTGCATCGGTCTTTGCAGTTGGTAAAACACGAGTGGCTGGTAAGTCCGAAATGTCACACTGCACGATGAACTGCTCTCCATGCATTAAGCCCATTGAATCGCAGCGTACATTGTAACTTTGTGTGTTCGTAATAGCAAAATTTTCGTAACACAATGAATTCACAGAACTGTTTACTGATGGATGAAATGCGCAATGTTAGAACCCCCAGCCAGAGGGGCCAAATATATGGAAGACTACGGTGTTTAAAGCGAGCAGTCATTCAACATTCGCAGTATTTCTTTGGAAAAGTTCGACTTGATGTAAAACTGACCCATATAACCTGACCCCATGCACAAGGATTACCGAAATTAGTGTACCAATAATTTTGCTACTGTTCACCTACGTCAATCTATTCAATAGAAATTCCCTTGACAGGTCAGATTCCCGATAGAATTATCTAAAACATCTAGATCCCGTAATGAATTCAAACAGGCAAGTCAAAAGACAACCGCTGCGAGATGAATTCTTCTAGTACACTCGTATGTCGTGTACGTGTAACATTGAATAATACAGACACAAGCCTTCCCTGGCTGTAACCAATCATGTGCATCCCACACACGGACACACGGACACAAACATACGGAAACATACGATAAAACCTAACTGGCTTTCTTGATTTATTTCCTTTTTCTATCTTTTGAGCAACCGATGAGAGTATACAAAAGATATTCCTCTCTTAGCTTTTGTTTACAGAATTATCTGAGTTTTGCTTTTGCTATCAATTGTTTCATTACAATGTGTCCTTTGAAATATTGAATAAAAGTGATGAAAAATAAACTTCGGTCCGAAGGAGATTTCAGTTCAATTACTTTCAATGAGAATTTCTATTTATGAAAGAAAACTATCCCATCATATAAATAAATTCGATATTAGTGGAAAACAATGAAAATTAAAGATAAGCTCAAATGAATGCCCATTGGTGGAGAAAAGGATGCTATGGGTTCAAGCAAAATAAATTACACACAAAAGTCACTAGTTCATGCACTCAACAGACATACATCACACACGATGTTTATGATAATGACGAATTTGTAAAACCTGCAGTCATTTAAATGATCAGCACTCATTTGAACATGTGGAATTACGAGATACTTCAGCTGTAGTGTCTATCTACATCATCTCAAAGTTACTAGATTTATTTTCCATCGCATAAATCTATTTTTGCTAAGATTGAATTTAAGATAATTAATTGGACAACTGAATCTCCACAAAGATGATAATTCCGTACTTAACTGAATTGTGTTTTTACACCTGCAGTCTTGGACGTCGCGAGCTTTGAAAGGCTCATGGGTCCGTGTCAAGAAGTAATGCAACGCAATATCGACACTTATGAAAAACAACTAAAAGAACTTCTTGGATCCGACTATCACCTGATGAGTAAAACTGGTAAATAATTCATTCATTGGAGAAACAAAATATAAACGCGTACCCTGAGAAAGATTCTCAAAATTATCTACAATATATTCAGCAAACCAACATCTGGTTGAAATGCAATTTTGGAAGTTGTCTGTGAAAACTTTTTATGAATCTTGAAAAAGAGGAATCGGGATGCGGTCATCGAAGACAAGTTTCATATTTGATCAATTCTCATCCGGTCGTTCACGCAATCGTACACATATTCACAAGCCAGTTAGCCAATTATCATCTGTTATTTCCTTATTTCTTCAATTGTCTTTGAGCACGGTTTCCTTCTGTTGTGTCCCGTGAAATTTCCATATTTCAGGAGAATTCAACCCCTTCTCCCCGCATCCTCATCTCGACCCATTCGTGACTTTATTCAATGTGTCTCGATGATATTTTTTTCTCGTTCTATACTATCCCTGCACATTTCCCACCTTTTCATTCCTTCGCAAAGTCGTAACCTGCAAACCAAACCGCTGAATTATCAGTGGACAATGTGAAATACCTGTGTGTCAATCCTTCTCTCCCCCAGTCTTTGTTCCTTATTTTTCGTCAGACAGCGCAACCCCCGTGGTTCAATCCGTTTTTTTTCGGCAGTATGCGTCACTGTGCATAAACATGATGTTTTTATTTCTGTCTTAAAGACTGCATGTGTTTCTTTGTGAGGTCCCATCACGTTTTGGACTGTGGGTGTGTGTAGCTGGAAGTAAAGCATGTTCGTCTGAACATAAACGCCATTACTGTCAGATTTCGACCGGCGAGCGCACCCACACACAGCGGTTGCCAACTTCGTTAAAATCAGACCGAATTCACCTCAACCTAAATGGTTTTCACGTTTTTTGCAGTAACTGGTCAATGTAGTCGAACAGCATGTGCATTGTGAGAATAATAAGTTTTCAATATACATTACAATCTATTTGATGTTGACGGGGCTCAAGACGATTGGTTAAAGTTCGTACAGAACATTTTCGTTACTGCCGTTAGTGTTTTTAGTTGCAGTATATTACGACAATCGGAATATACGGCCGCTTTATGTGCATTTTAAACAGACCAGAAGTATTTGCTAGGAAGCAATGTACAACTAGTGAATATCGATAACCGTATTTCCTGTATAGGCAAAATGAAATGAAAAATAACCAGATCACCTGGAAAGAGGATAGTGCAATTGCGTTCTACTGCGGAGGTTCTCAGTTGGGTCGATGAATTACTCGTGTTGCTGGCGAGACCCAGTGAAGTTAAAACAGCTGTACATGGCTTCTAATCTTTCTACATTGTCACGATACTCACCACAGAATCGAATTGAAAACCTTCACTATTGTTGCGCATCAAATGTGTGGTCATAGAAGCCAAATGTTTTTCTTTGAGTGCCAGTTCAACTGTGCGTTTGAACTGTGATTTTAATATGTAAGAACTTGCGGTTGCACAGGGAACGTTAAGCCGTACCTTGTAAATCGTGGTTTATTCCGGAGTCAATTAACACTTAATCAAAAACCTGCCAATATTCAAAAGCATTGGTACTGATATTCGTTGTCACGTTTCGAAACCATTTTTATCAGAAGAATAAGCAACATAAATAGAAGTCGGGTGTTAGAATTTCCGGCGTTTAAACGTGCACTAAAGTTGGCCGACCAGAATAATGAACAACTTCATGCACAACCTCTGAACAGGTAAGGTAAGCTTCAGCACTCTCAATGATAGTGACAGATACGAACAATATGACGTAGTGTTTATGTGTGACAAGTTGATGTGTATCCATCCAGATAGGAAAAGTGATTACGCTGGTAGAGTAAAACCCTCTCATGTCCTGCTTGTGATGTTTGCATGTGATTATGCTTTGATGGTATCTCCTGAATGGAATAGATTAGCGCACCGTTCATTGAAGACTTCTCACAGATGAATATCAAGCATGTGCCAAATGACCAGGCAGAAGCCAAATTCAGTCCCACCAAAATGTTATAAGTGCAAATTTACGAATGGTTTCACCAGAGATTTCCTCTTCACTTCGTTAGTGAAAAGGGTTTGGAGTGCAGAAAACACAACACTTTGCTTTACTTTCGCGACCGGCCTGTTGGTTTCTCATTACCCAGAAGCAAGAACGATGGGAAGGATGCACTATTACACTTCTCTAAGACTATGTATGACCTTTGCGGTTTCAGTTCTGTCACATGTAACGGGATTTGAAGCTTCGAATTAATCACATTCGTGGCTAGGTTATATTTCTGATTGTATCACGTGACAGTTTCTATGGTGGATTTTCCAGCCTAAATCGAGTTCACCGTGAGGGCAGTGTGGACTCAAACTAAACATGGACCATTTGCATTCCCAGCCTGCCAATCACACCCGACGATAAATTGGTCGCCAAAACGCATTGAAAAGCATCCTACCATTTTTGGTTCGTAGGATAACGAAAGGATTTATGTGCACAAATGACCATTGTATGCACACCATTATAAACCGGGAAGACAAAGTTGTTTAGTGGAATAGATTTATGCGCAGCAGTTATCGGTCTAGCCAGTTTCTATGAAAAAAATCTATCTGATCACCTTGTATGCAAGGGGGAGTGATATCAGAAAAACTGACGTAAAGCATGAAAATTGGGAAGTGTGACTGCTCATATTAGGTGACCAATGTATAGCACAGTATCCTGTTTTAATAATTAGGGTTACTCATATCGAGTTAGTCACCAGCGAATCGGTCATAGTCGTGATCAGCTTCTGGGTTATTCGTTAATGGCGTTTATCATGTCTGTCGGTTGTTGTTGTTTTTGAGAAAATATCGAACGAAGTTAAAACGGAAAACCGAAATGAAAACTTTTATAAATCCTTTACTTAAAACGGGACGATTTAATAACCACATTATTCAGCTGTATATGGCAACTGCTGACTGCAATCCGTTTCAACATCCCCTGTCTGGGATCTCTGCGGATCGTTTTCTTTATGTGGTTCAACCGTTTTTAATATGATACAAATCTGTCATGCAATTGAAGATTGTGAATGGACCTTACAGCTCCATTCCCAGTCACTTGATGTACGTAGTTTTGCTACGGTTATTTTATTTGCAATGTACGGTTGATTTCGTAAAAAGTGTAGTTGTATATATCGCTATAGATTGACACCCCGATTGTAATGCAATGGGAAGAATACAACAACAGGCGGGAACCAGCAGGTTGATAGTTGGTACGAACATAAACAAACAAAATATGCCCGGCATCATCTCAAAGTAAAGGCAAACACAATCAAGTCAAAAACGGTTCTGTAGATATGATACATCAAACATTTCGAATTATCAAACACACTGTCATTCAACACTTGTTGATTTAACCTGTGAATGATTCGAGGTGTAGGTGTGTTTAGCTAAGATGTTCGGTTTAACAAAAACGAATACAAGACATTCGAAGTAAGCCACCTTCTTGGGAGGTCTTTACCAGGTCAATTAGATCGTCTTCTCGAATTCACAAACGGAATTTTAATGACGGTCCTAGCTTGGTAAGTACACAGACGCCAAAACATACATAGAGAAGGAGGTCCGCACGTTCTTTATTAAGGTCGTAATCTTTCAACTTTTGGGAAACCGATTCGAGGTAATTGACATAAAGCATTCCAAGGAGATTCAAACTTTGTGACCGAGATCGGTTTTTACTCTATTTTTTTCCTCGTCGGGGATCAACCGAAATTCGTCGCATTTGTATAATGAGCACAAAATCCATTTAGTAAATTATTTTGGGTTACTTTGAGTTTTTAGGTCTAGTTACCTCTCTTTTTGAATTAGGAAATCAATAACAGCTACCACCATTATTTCCATTCACTTTAACAGGTAGTGTTGAGTAATACGGACAAACAGCCACTTTGAACACTTCAAACTGTTTGACTGTTCATTAATTGCAGTGATTCAGTGAAACATACGAGTGGGTCACCACAGAGTATTCATTACTGAATGGAATGGATGAAAGCAAAATCTTTGACAAATTCTCCATATCCGGCTGGAAGCCACACAACCGTAACTTGATGAGTGCAAGATGCAATTATCTTCAATCCATTTTCACTCTGCACATTATATAAAAATGATTAGTGGTGCAGTCTCCCCAGGTGAGTTCCATAACCAAGCTATAAAACCTGTGGTGTGTTGAAGGGTCAACACTCTAATCAAAGTACGCGTTCATGCATTCTACAAGCGTTGGGTGAAATCACAGCTTAACGTACTGCATAAATGCAAATCAATAGTGCCATTTGTTCTGAGTTTATTGTGTAGATACGCAGCAGATTCCCCATCCTTAGCAATCAAAAGGATCACCGGTCATTAAGAGTATTCGCAGTGCGTTGAACAATACTAGCGTAGAATGCGTTTCAGCTCGATATTCTAGGTTGACAAATATGGCCAGTGGGAATGTGTGTTCTCAGAAACTGTTAGTTCGTACTCAGTTTCACCGGGTAATCCATAGGTGTCAGTTGCGTTGCCATCACACTGTCTATGGAAGACATTGCCTAGTGCAGTCTATGAGACTCATCAGCTTGATCAATAAGCAGATGTCCTTTCTGGACATTACTCATTATTTACCAATGAACCAATGAACTACTCACAGAAACTATTGAGTTAATTGACACCTATAAACATAATTCGGGAATAGCGTTGGACTAACTGTCGATGAGCTCAAGCAAGTTCTCTATCTTTGCACGTGTACCACACAAGATTTCAGTTTAATGATGCAACGTATAGACAGAAAGAGGGAATAGTCATGAGTTGGTCACTGGGGATCAAACCAGTTGGGTCGATGGATGCGCACTGCTAATGGGACGACAGAGCTGTTCCTAGCTTTTCAGTTTGCCTTTCGTTTGCTCTTTACAAGACGAAATTCACTATTTAACCAAACAAAATCCTCTATCTCGCTCAATTCACTTGTATTCTCATCGCCAAAGTGATTTGAAGATGAGTGAATGAGGAGATGGGATAATGATTACAAAGAGTGAGGAAAAAAGACGAGATGCTTGCATAAAAA